AGACCCACCAGAATACTGATCCTGGAAGACTATCCTATTCGGCCAACGAGGGATTGCCTAAGTAAGTAAGTAAATAAGTAAGTAAGACTGGAAGAGTGTGACTTGCCCATTGTTTTCCATAACTAAACAGGAATTTGAGATCTGCCACAATCCTATTGTAACATTAAAACCACCACATGGTGCTGTTTCCTTTCACCAAATTGGGAGGGATAGCCAATTCTCCAGAGGACAGGAGCAGGATTCACAACGATCTTGACAGATTAGAGAGATGATGGGCCAAAACTAACAAAATGAAGTTCAACAGTGACAAATGCAAGATACTCCACTTTGGCAGGAAAAAGAAATGCAAAGATACAGAATGGGGGACAATGCCTGGCTCGAGAGCAGTACGTGTGAAAAAGATCTTGGAGTCCTCGTGGACAACAAGTTAAACATGAGCCAACAATGTGATGTGGCAGCAAAAAAAGCCAATGGGATTTTGGCCTGCATCAATAGGAGCATAGTGTCTAGATCTAGGGAAGTCATGCTACCCCTCTATTCCGCTTTGGTTAGACCACACCTGGAATATTGTGTCCAATTCTGGGCACCACAATTCAAGAGAGATATTGACAAGCTGGAATGTGTCCAGAGGAGGGCGACTAATGATCAAGGGACTGGAGAACAAGCCCTATGAGGAGCGGCTAAAGGAGCTGGCATGTTTAGCCTGAAGAAGAGAAGGCTGAGAGGAGACATGATAGCCATGTATAAATATGTGAGAGGAAGCCACAGGGGAGGGAGCAAGCTTGTTTTCTGCTTCCCTTGGAGACTAGGACGCAATGGAACAATGGCTTCAAACTACAAGAGAGGAGATTCCATCTGAACATGAGGAAGAACTTCCTGACTGTGAGAGCCGTTCAGCAGTGGAACTCTCTGCCCAGGAGTGTGGTGGAGGCTCCTTCTTTGGAAGCTTTTAAACAGAGGCTGGATGGCCATCTGTCAGGGGTGATTTGAATGCAGTATTCCTGCTTCTTGGCAGAATGGGGTTGGACTGGATGGCCCATGAGGTCTCTTCCAACTCTTTGATTCTAGGATTCTATGATTCTAATTAGACTTTAATAAATGCAATAATAAAAATACTTTTAAAAATAGCCCTTGCAATGCAGACTCAATTCATCACTGTCATTGGGACGAATGCATGCCTTTGGTTTTGCTGGAGGGAGTGTGTACAGTGACAATAGCATCTGTCCGGCCTACAAAAGGCTCCTGTGTCAAAAAAAAGAGAAGTTTCCAAAATTATCTCCAGCCAAGCGAGGATGTTACGGCATGTTCAGTGTTTTCCTGGCACAGTGAGGAACACGGCTGAAGGTAATTGAGCAAAGAAAGCCATCTGACAATGATGCCTTTGCACTTGGTTAAGAAAACGATGACTTTCCTTCTTTTATTTTTGGACTAATTTTGCATTGATTTTGTAGACAAAGGGAAGAAAGATGGTGAATCTGCTCTGGGTTCTACTCCAAACTGCAAAGGAAGCTATGCAAAAAGCAGGATCAATTTCAGGGATAGATTTAAGCACCATCCGCAATTCTTTTAAAGTCTGAACATATGCACGGGGCAAATTCATCAGCTCATTGCTATGAATGCATAGGCTGAGATCTTTCAATAGGTTTGTTGTTTGTTGTTCATTTGTTCAGTCATTTCCGACTCTTCGTGACCTCATGGACCAGCCCACGCCAGAGCTCCCTGTTGGCCGTCACCACCCCCAGCTCCTTCAAGGTCAAGCCAGTCACTTCAAGGATGCCATCCATCCATCTTGCCCTTGGTCGGCCCCTCTTCCTTTTTCCTTCCACTTTCCCCAGCATCATTGTCTTCTCCAGGCTTTGCTGTCTCCTCATGATGTGGCCAAAGTACTTCAACTTTGTCTCTAGTCTCCTTCCCTCCAATGAGCAGCCGGGCTTTATTTCTTGAAGTATGGACTGGTTGGATCTTCTCGCTGTCCAAGGCACTCTCAGAACTTTCCTCCAACACCACAATTCAAAAGCATCTATCTTACAAACTGTAAATCTATATGGATTGTAAATCTTTCAATAGGCTTACATTTGAGAGTAGAATGCTATCCCTTTGGATTCTGGTCCCAACTAAATGGTGAGTCTTTTGGAAAAATGGAATTTCTAAGTCTATAAAGCAAAAGAATTAGAAGGGATCCCCAAAAGCCATCTAGTCCACCACTTGTCATTCCTATGCAGAATCCAGCTTCTGGTTCAAAATCTTCAGAAAAAGAAATGCCATTGCACACCGAAGAAATCTATATTACACAAGAATTGAAAGGGATTCCCAAAGATCATCTAGTCCACCCCCTTCTGCCATTCCGACCCACAATTCAAGCCCTTCCAACAGATGACCATCCCAACTCCTTTTAACAAGTCCTTGAGATGGAGATGCCATGGACTCCCAAGAAAGAATTAGGAGGGATCCCCGAAGGCCATCTAGTCCACCCCTTGTTATTCCTAACCAGAATCAAAGCACTACTGGCAGATGGCCATCCAAACTCTTTTTAAAAACCTCCAGAGAAGGAGATGTCACTGGGTTCCCAAGAAGTCTATATAGCACCAGAGTTAGAAGGGAACCCTAAAGGCCATCCAATCCACCCCCCTTTTGCCAGGCAGGGGTCTGCAATCATAGCTCTCCCAGGCAGCAGCCAATTCCACTGCTGAATAGCTCTTACTATTGGGAAGTAACCCCCCCCCCCCAATAATTATTTATGTGGAATCTCTTTTCTTTTAGTTTAACTCCATTGACTGCAGAAAGAAGACTATTACCTTGATTCAAAACCTCTGTTTTTACACTTGCATGTTCTGTGCCAAATATGAGACTCCCTGTATCTACAATTTGGATAATCCAACTTTCTGCTTGAGGAATGGCAAATCAATAGTTTAAACATTTCAGGCAGAGAGAGCCAAAAAGCCCCCACACGCATGCCATAGGGACAGAGGAATCTGTTTCCAAAGCACAGATGCTCCCTGCGAGCCACTTAATCTTCCTAGTTAAACTCTTCAGCTTAAAAGATTTCCTAGCAAATGAGATGCACAAGAGGAGATGTGTGTGTGTGTGTGTGCCTCCGTCATTGGGGGGGGGGGGAGGGAAGCAGACTCATTAACTAATTGCAATGGCATTCTGGAGGAAGGGGTCCAGGAGCCTCCTCTGTCCTGCCAAGAGCTGCTGCTGCTGCTCAAAGACGGCGTTGATATAACAGAGATGCCATTACAAGGGGAATACAATCACTGCTGCGTTATACACAACACACACATCTCCCCCAAGACTCTCAATCAGGGGGAATCATTTGGATCTATAGAGAGGCAACTATAATCTGTCTATCGATCTATAAGTCATCTATGTTTCTATGCATTTTTCTATTTATCCATCCGTCTCTATGTATCATATATGAATAAATATATCATGTATCCCCTTCTCTTTTATCTACATATGCATGGATCCATATATCTATCATTTCTCTCTCTCTACATCTATCTATCCATCCATCCATCAATCATCTATCTATCTGTCATGAATCATCTACCTACCTACCTACCTACCTATCCATGCATGTCTATCTGTCTGTCTGTCTATCTATCTATCTATCTATCTATCTATCTATCTATCTATCCATGTCTATCATCTATCTATCCATTTCTTCTTCTCTCTGTGTGTATCATCTACCTACCTACCTACCTACCTACCTACCTACCTACCTATCTATTCTACCTATCATCCATCCTTCTATCTATCTATCCATCTATCCATCCATCTATCTATTCTACCTACCTATCATCTATCTGGAGCCCCCGGTGGCTCAGTGGGTTGAAGCACTGAGCTGCTGAGCTTGTTGATCGAAAGGTTGCAGGTTCGATTCCGGGGAGCGGCGTGAGCTTCCGCTGTCAGCCCTAGCTTCTGCCAACCTAGCAGTTCGAAAACATGCAAATGTGAGCAGATCAATAGGTACCGCTCCGGCGGGAAGGTAACGGCGCTCCATGCAGTCATGCCGGCCACATGACCTTGGAGGTGTCTATGGACAACGCCGGCTCTTCGGCTTAGAAATGGAGATGAGCACCACACCCCAGAGTCAGACATGACTGGACTTAAAGTCAGGGGACTACCTTTACCTTTACCTTATCATCTATCTATCTATCTATCTATCTATCTATCTATCTATCTATCTATCTATCTATCTTGTATCATCTACCTACCTACCTACCTACCTATCCATGCATCTCTCTCTATCTCTCTATCCCTATCATCTATCTATCATCTATCCATCCATTTATTCCTTTCTCTGTGAGAACTATCAATCTATCTATCTATCTATCTATCTATCTATCTATCTATCTATCTATCTAATTCTACCTACCTACCATCCATCCATCCATTTATCCTTCGTGCATCATCTATCTATGTATCTATCTGTCTATGTAATCTATCATCTATCTGTTTGACCATTTATTCTTCTCTCTCTGTGTATCATCTCCCTCTCTCTCTCTCTCTGCATCCCATCTCTCTCTATGCATTAGCTATCTATCATCTATCTATCTATCTATCTATCTATCTATCTATCTATGAATCTATCATGAATTAATTTATCTGTCAGTCTATGCCACATATATATATATATGCATCTATAGCTATATTTGTATGTACCGTCCCTCTCTCTATATATGTATGTATCTATCACAATGTATCTATATATGAATTTCTTCATGTATCTATAATCGCTCTCTCTCTTTCTCTGTAGCTATATCTGTATCTCTCTGTCTCTCCATCCATCCATCCCTGTATGTTTCCTTCCACATGGATTTGCCCTTTTCTGACTACTATGTTGCTGCTGTATGTCTTCAAATTGTTTTTGAATCATGGCAGCCTTGTCATGGGGTTTTCTTGGGCCAATTTGTTCAGAGGGTTTGTGCCATCGTCTTGCTCTGAGGCTGGGAGAGTGTGACGACTCAGTGTGGATGCTGGTGTTTGAACCCTACCTCCTTCAGCGTCGACGGGAAGGTGGTCTCTTGCAGGTGGAACTCTGGGACGCACTGGAAGGTGATGGTGAGGAGGACGCCCAAACAGCCCAGGTGGACGCAGGCGGCCTGGTAGAGCTCGGGATTTGTAGTTTCAGAGCACTCCAGGATTTCCCCAGAAGCCGTTAAGAGGGTCAAGGATACAACCTATTATGATGGGAAGATAGCAGGGAAGGAGACAATACACATGAAATGCTTAGATATAGGAAGAGTGACCCCTGTCTGCCTCTCTTTCTCTGGAGGTTTTCAAGCAGAGGCTGGATAGCCATCTGTTGGGAGGGCTTTGATTGCATCTTTCTGAAAGGCAGCAGGGGGTTGGACAGATGGCCCTTGTGGCCCCTTCCAATTCTGTGATTCTATTAATATTGCAATTCTTTTTTCATGTAATTTTGGGTGGCTAATTTGCAATAAAAATTGCAATACATCTCTCTCTCTCTCTGTGTCTGTCTGTCTGTCTATTTATGCATCTATTTATCTCTCCATCTATCCTATATGTATGTATAATCTATCCCTCTATCTCTATACTTATATCTATCTATATCTTTCTCTATATGTATCTATCACTTACACCTATATCTCTATCTATCAATGTATAGATCTATCCATGTATCTATCCATCTATATATATATCTATGCCTCTATCTATCTATCTATGTAGAGATCTATCCATGTATCTATCTATGCCTCTATCTATCTATCTATCTATCTATCTATCTATCTATAGATTTATCCATCTATCTATCTATCCCTCTATCTATCTATGCCTCTATCTATCTATCTATCTATCTATCTATCTATCTATCTATCTATCTATCAATGTATAGATCTATCTATCTATCTATCTATAGATCTATCTATCTATCTATAGATCTATCTATCTATCTATCTATCTATCTATCTATCAATGTATAGATCTATCTATCTATCTATTTATCTATCTATCAATGTATAGATCTATCAATGTATAGATCTATCTATCTATCTATCCATCCATCTATCTATCTCTCTATCTATCCATCTATCTATCTATCTATCTATCCACCCATCTATCTATATATCTATGCCTCTATCTATGCCTCTATCTATGCCTCTATCTCTATACTTATATCTATCTATATGTTTCTCTATATGTATCTATCACTTACACCTATATCTCTATCTACCTATATCTCTATCTATCTATCAATGTATAGATCTATCCATGTATCTATCAATCTATATATATATCTATGCCTCTATCTATCTATCTATCTATCTATCTATCTATCTATCTATCTATCTATCTATAGATTTATCCATCTATCCATCTATATATATATCTATGCCTCTATCTATCTATCTATCTATCTATCTATCTATCTATATATCTATCAATGTATAGATCTATCTATCTATCTATCTATCTATCTATCTATCTATCTATCTATAGATTTCTCCATCTATCTATCTATCTATCTATCTATCTATCTATCCCTCTATCTATCTATGCCTCTATCTATCTATCTATCTATCTATCTATCTATCTATCTATCTATCAATGTATAGATCTATCTATCTATCTATCTATCTATCTATCTATCTATCTATCTATCTATAGATCTATCTATCTATCTATCTATCTATCTATCTATCTATCTATCTATCCCTCTATCTATCTATGCCTCTATCTATCTATCTATCTATCTATCTATCAATGTATAGATCTATCAATGTATACATCTATCTATCCATCCATCTATCTATCTCTCTATCTATCCATCTATCTATCTATCTATCCACCCATCTATCTATATATCTATGCCTCTATCTATGCCTCTATCAATGTATCTATCTATCTATCTACCTACCTACCTACCTACCTATCTATCTATCTATCTATCTATCTATCCATCCATCCATTTATCTTTCTCTCTCCATGTGTCATCAATCAATCTATGTATGCATATCTATCTCTGTACCCTATATCTATGAATTATCTGTCTATCAATCTAAAAACTGTCTATATCTATCTATCTATCTATCTATCTATCTATGTATCTATCATCAGTCAATTTATCTCTCAGATGGCTGTTGTGGTCTCTTCCAATTCTATGATTCTAATAATATTGCAGCTCTTTTTCATGTATTTTTGGGTACCAAATTTGCAATTACCAAGAACCCCAAAACCAAAAATACAAATAAATATGCAGTTCAAAAAACATGCCAAGTAGATCAATAGGTACCGCTCCGGCGGGAAGGTAATAGTGCTCCATGCAGTCATGCCGGCCACACGACCTTGGAGGTGTCTATAGACAATGCTGGCTCTTCGGCTTAGAAATGGAGATGAGCACCTACCCTCAGAGTCAGACACAATTAGACTTAATATCAGGGGGAAACCTTTACCTTTACCTTTACCTATGCCTCACCCAGACACAGTTCTTTTGAAACAAGGCTCATATTTCCCTTGCTCACACACTTCTGTCCAGTAGGTGTCACCAGAGAGCCACCTTTTGCTCTGCCATTCATTCTAGTGCAACAGTTCTGCTCTGCAATGTATTTTTTTTTGGTGTTCTGTTTGCCTTTGCTACCTGCTGCCTGATTTAATTTATATGCCAGTGTAGGACCCACAAAATGATTCCAAAACAAGTTTTTAAAAGCCACATGTCGCGAGATGTTTAAAACAATCACAGCCATATAATGCATTCTTTTAAAAAATCAATTTAAACATGCAACATTTAAAAGAATGTATTAAATTTGCTCAATGATAAAAAAAAATCGAGAGAGAGAGTTGCTTTAAGAGACGCCATAAGTCGAAGATGACTTCCACACGCCATAATAACTTTGAGTCCTCCTTGGGGGAGATAAAGCAGGATATAAGTAAATAATAATAATAATAATAATAATAATAATAATAATAATAATAATAATTATTATTATTATTATTATTATTATTATTAAATAAAGAACTAGTGGGATCACAAGCCTGAAAAAGTTACAGAGAATGAACACATCTGGGACTTCCGAATTCAGACAGAGTTTTGGAGAACAATACTCCTGGCTATATGGCCATGTTCTAGAGGCATTCTCTCCTGACGTTTTGCCTGCATCTATGGCAAGCATCCTCAGAGGTAGTGAGGTCTGTTGGAACTAGGAAAAAGGGTTTATATATCTGTGGAATGACCAGGGTGGGACAAAGGACTCTTGTCTGCTGGAGTTAGGTGTGAATGTTTCAGCTGAACACCTTGATTAGCATTTGATTGCCTGACAGTGCCTGGAGCAAACTTTTGTTGAGAGGTGATTAGATATCCTTGTTTGTTTCCTCTCTGTTGTTGTGCTGTTGTAATTTTAGTGTTTTTTTAATACTGGTAGCCAGATTTTGTTCATTTTCATGGTTTCCTCCTTTCTGTTGACATTGTCCACATGCTTGTGTATTTCAATGGCTTCTCTGTGTAGTCTGATGCGGGAAATGCTGGACCACTCTCACAAACACCATGTCAGACTACACAGAGAAGCCACTGAAATACACAATAATCAAGGTGTTCAGCTGAAACATTCACACCTAGCTCCAACAGACAAGAGTCCTTTGTCCCATCCTGGTCATTCCACAGATATATAAGCCCTTTTTCCTATACGGCCATGGTTTAGAGAGAATGCCTCTAGACCATGGCCATATAGCCCGAAAAAACCTACAAGAACCCAGTGATTCCGGCCATGAAAGCCTTCGACAATACTCCTGGCTGCATGGTCATGTTAAAAAACAAAGTATGGATTGTCGATGTTGCAATCCCAGGTGATGGCAGGATTGAAGAGAAACAACTGGAAAAGTTGACACGATATGAGGATTTAAAGATCAAACTGAAAAAGACGCTGGCACAAACCAGTCAAGGTGGTCCCAGTGGTGTTCGGCACACTGGGTGCAGTGCCTCAAGACCTTGGCCTGCACTTAAACACAATCGGTACGGACAAAATTACCATCTGGCAGCTGCAGAAGGCCACCTTACTGGGATCTGCATGCATTATTCACCAATACATCACACAATCCTATACACTTGGGAAGTGTCCGACATGTGATCCAATACAACAGCCAACAGAGTGTCTGCTGTGGAATCATCTTATTGTGTTTCAAATAATAATAATAATAATAATAATAATAATAATAATAACTTCCATTGTATTTTCTTTCTCGCCTAGGAAAGAGAAGACAAAGGAGAATTATGAGCTCTAAGGTCTTCCTCTTCTTCTTCAAAGGATGCTGCTTCTGGACATTTTCTCCAAATAGATAATTTTTTGAGGTCAAAGAGGTCTGGAGTAGAAGGCAAGCTCTAGGGAAATCACACAAGAAATCACACAAGAAAGGGATTGGAGCCTTTCGCTCTGCAAAATATTTCAGCAGAGGCTTTGTCCTTTCCCTGCACACTTATTGACGTTGCAAGGGACAGAATTGAGATTCTTTTTTTCGTTCTGGGAAAGAAAGAAAGAAAGAAAGAAAGAAAGAAAGAAAGAAAGGAGGGAGGGAGTGAGGGAGGGAGGGAGGGAGGAAGGAAGGAAGGAAGGAAGGAAGGAAGGAAGGAAGGAAGGAAGGGAAGGGAAGGGAAGGGAAGGGAAGGGAAGGGAAGGGAAGGGAAGGGAAGGGAAGGGAAGGGAAGGGAAGGGAAGGGAAGGGAAGGGAAGGGAAGGGAAGGGAAGGGAAGGGAAGGGAAGGAAAGGAGGATGGAAGGAAGGAGACAGCGAAAAAAAGCAGGCATTCAGGCTTTGCCATTTCCCATCTACCTATTTATTTGCATTGCAACAGACAGACCGGAGACTCTTTTTCTCACTGTAGGAAAAGAGAGAAAGAAAGATACTGAAAGTGAGAGAAAAGCAGGAAGGCAGCCTTTGTTGTTTCCCTGCATTGCAATGAACAGAACCAGGACTCTTTTTCTCATTGTGGGGAAAGAAAGAAAGAAAGATGCTAAAAAGCAGACAGCCTTTGTTATTTCCCTTCAATGCAATGGACAGTCTTTTTGAACGGATAGTCTTTTTTCCATTCTGGGAAAGAATGAAAAAAAAAAGGAGAAGAAAATAGAGAGAAAAAGAGAGGGAAAGAGTGAAAGACAATAAGAGAGAGAGGGACAGAAAGAGAACAAGTGACAGAGAAAGAGAGCAAGAAGGAGTGAGAGAAAAAGAAA